CGGAGCCCCCCCAGCTGTGCAGACCGGGGCGGGGGGCGTCCCAAAGTCAAAGGGAGACGCGCATCTGCGTGCCACCGCGTTCCCCGGTGCGGAGAGAAGGGAAGCTGGGATTCATTAACTTGCCTAACGATCTCCTTCTCCCTCTTTGTGTAAAGAGATGGGGCAAGGTCTTCACTTGTTAATCACATTTTTTGTTTACAAATGCACAACATTCTCAATAAAGAAAAAGGAGCAGGTGCTCCTTTTAAACGATGTTTTAACAATATAAAAGGCATCAGTGCCTGCTGAGCAGAGCTGCAAGGGAGACACAGCCAGGAGAGGGTCAGGCCCTTTTCCACCTGTTAAGGCTGCTGTCCAATGAAAAAAGCTGGGAGAATGCTCAGGGCAGGAGCTGCAAGGCAGCCAGGGATGCAGGGGGACCACAGTGGCGAGGGTGGGCCGTGCATCCTCCGCCTCTTAGCTTACTCCCTGCTCCCTGCTCATCCTGGTTTGCCATGTGGCCTTGGGCATTTCTTTTCACTGCTGGTACTCAGCTTGTAAACAGGAAAAAAGGATTCCTTCTTGGAGAGTTCTGGATAGGAGTTACTCAGAAACAAGTCTGTTGTGGCTACATGTTATACAAATAATTATCCTTCATCATCTGGTTATGTCACATGAGTTGCAGGAGCCTGTCCCTCAAGGGGCCTGGTCTTACCTCTCCCAGTGGGATCCAGTAACACTGATCTCACAAATGGGGATTTGGTGTCATGCTTTTGGTACTGGAGTGGGACCACGTGCAACTGGCTCTCTCTCCTGTCTCTGCCACAGCCTTCCCCACATGAGGTGGGCAAATTGCTTCTTTGCTCTGGTTTGCAGCGTGCTGGTAACCATAATCTCATTTGCTCAGCTTGGCAAGCTGAGGAGTTGCCCTGTCACTAGGCACATTCAGTGCCTGACACCGGGACTGATCTCAGTGGGGACTAGGAACGCGACAAGAGTGCAAGCAATAAATAACAGCAGCACACCTGGGAGATTTTTCAAGGCTCTTCCTAAACAGGGCCTGCCTTGCTGATTCTTGCAGTGATCACCCTATGCCCTCAAGCATGCGATCTGTGTAGTTTGGAAACCGTAGGAGCCCAGCTGCAGGCACTGCAGCTCCAAGATGGAATTTCCATGTATGAAGCAGCTGCAGGTTTTGTTTCTTTTAGTGCATGCACAGAAGCCAGCTCTGGGATGACAGGGTTTACAGGAAGGAAGCATGTGTCAGAAAGAGTAAATAATGACAATCAAAGCAGCGGTGACGGTGGAAGAAGCCCTTTAAGCTTCAGAGCAAGCCACTGGATTTCCCCAGAAGCTCTCCAGAGAAAATGAAGTTGGAAAAGATGCAACAGCAACCACAGGCAGGATGAAGCTGTCAAAGGGTCGTGGTCCTAGACAAGTCACAGAATATCCAGGGGTTTGTACATGTGCTGTTGGCTCCCCCTCAAGACACAGGATGTCATGTGGTGCATGGGGAAACTCCTGGGACTGATTTCTTTTGAACCATTCTGCTATCTGAGAACCCAGAGATCTGAGGGACAAGTGGTGCTTGGAGAGCTGGAGATGGTTGGGGCAGTGTTAGGGAGTCACGGTGTCAGTAAAGATGCTGTTTTGGGGGTGCCTTCCAGGCAGTTATACCCACAAAGAGCATCAACTGTCATTCCTGGTCTCTTCCTTCATCTCAAGTAGTTTCTTGCTGCAAGTGGTATGGAGGCTTTTGCTTGAACCGAGGAGAGGAATGAAGCATGTTTCTGATGTGGGTAGGAAAGCAAGGGCAGAGCGCTGCTTTCCAGTCAAACATCTTGTTTACCAACAGTGCAGGCTCAAGTTGAGAGAAACCTTTTCTAAATTCACAGTGAATGAGTTTGGCTGGGGGAAAAAAAACCCTCATCCCAGATAATGAGAAGGACAAAATGTTCTGCGTCAATGTTTTGGAGGAAACATTCCCCATTTTTTACTTTGAAAAGAGGTTTGTTTTGAAGTCAACCGTCATGGCCTTCTCCAAACTTAAACAGG